TAGGTTACGTTGGTTGGGGCATGTGTTACGCATGTCACCAGATAGGTTGCCACGGTGAGCATTGTTTGCCGAGACAACTAGTGGGTGGAAGAACGTCAAGCGTGGCCAAACTAAGACCTGGCATGAGGGTATGAAAACCCTGACCAAGAGTCTGGGTCACGTAGGTCCCGTTAGGCTCCCTGGATGGGAACCTCGTAACCGATGCTTACAGACACTGAGTGATATGGCTGAGCGTCCTATTCACTTTAGCTTTGTTAAGCCTGGACAAATACCTGACAGCTGAAGCATTATGGGACTTGTACACAAATTCCTTTTGTCGTCGCAGCAACTTTAGTATGCCTGAGTTTATCCCGTCGTTGGTCACATATAGGCTTTGAAAAGGACAGCAGTAACTATAAATGGCATCTATTGTTTGGTTGAATAGGAGGACACATGTGAATAGAGAAGATGATGAAAACCATCAGTAGGGCTGTTTGAGAAATTCATTCCGGAGAGAAACACTTGTAGGTGAGAGTTTACGGAAACGAAACTGATATGCTCAGATCGGGAGAAAGATTTGCATGCACTGTGTGAATAAACTAGGTCGATCTAAGAGTAATCAATGGTCACTGGAGAAAATAGGTGCTCTTAGTGGGTGGTTGGTACTTATATTTTTATCATTTTACGATACCATTTATGCGTTTGTATTGATCGATGGATCGGCACAGTGTGTTTGTGTGCTTTTACTCAGCTGTTCACAACCACACCAGGCCGGAAACAGGGGACGTGATGTACTTTTCGGGTTGACTGTCGAAAATGGAAAAATGCACTAGATTTCATAGTTCCGTTTGGGGTCATATTGAGTAAGGATACCAAAACGCGTGAAATCGGAAATCAACAGGTATGTTTGGTCTGCTGATTAGTTGCATGCAGCAGTCCAGCAGTTTCGGTCATTTCGGTTTCTTTACTGTGACGTTGAATCTAAAACCCGGACGGCTACTGAATCACAAAGTGAGGTTTGAACAATTTTTTCCGATTGATTGATAAAAGGGGAACAAGCATAATATAATTCTCTCTTTCGTTTATTTCCGGTCGCCAACTGCGAATCGGCAGTGTGTGTGTGTGTGTGTGTGTGTGTGTCACGGCTTGATAGATCAGATTTATCTCTAGTGGATTACCACTTTGTCCCATTGCTGCAAAGGTTCACTTTCGTTCGCCTCAAAGTCCAAAGTTCTATTATGGGCTACTCAACAATACTAACGCTTATCGTACCCCATAGGATTTTTACAAAATTTGTTAAACAAATTTACAAATATAAAATAGTAATAATAATAATAATGGTAGGCATGATCACTCACACAAGTGTTGAAATGTTAAGTGTTCCTCCCAATGCTTTATCAAACTGCGATTTGAATAATTCAACTGTATGAGCAGATGCAACATGCAAACGAGTGATACCGACAATCTAGATGACCGATCTGGGTCCTCAACTCCCATAGATGTCGCCTGAGATGAGTAAATTTAGATAAAGTCGACACGGAACGTCTTTTTTGTATGCATTGTTTATTCGTTGCATGCTATTTTGTGTACTCTTAACGCGTGGTCCACAGAGAATACTCATTTCACCGTTGGTTCGGTTACACGATGATCTATGTAATTACCAGACTAGTGTTATCACTTTTATCAATAAGTCACCCTGGAATTGAAGGATTTTGCAATCGTTTATTTCTGTCCAAAGGTAAGCTCCGTTTGGCCGCTAGTCATCTTGCGTCGACGGGCAGTGTCAGCTTGCGCCAAAATGCATTCATCCCGTCTGGAGTTTCAGTGGACGCAGTAATCACCCCGCTGGGTACTACTCCTCCCACGCTGAGTTCACTGGCATCCAGTTTGAATCAGTCGTCTATCGGTTATACTTCATTGCCTTCCGCACACATGGTCGCCACAAAAACGCATCATTCGATCTCCCCCGGGCAATCATCCGCTGCTATCGGTGGCATTCTGTCACAAGTAGCGAACATTCAGTCACAGGCGATGGGATCTCGCCCAACCGGCAGTTCCGTGCCTCTCGGAGTTGTGATGAACAACGTGCCACAAGTGGTCCAGCTTAGCACGTTAGCCAATCAATGGCTTGGTCCGGAAACCAATCAGACTGTGTGCACCCTGTGCCCGGAAGCGAATTCTCTACTCCATTTGTTCGGTGCATGGCTTTTTGAAGCCTCGGTTGCAGGGGTGGAAAAGGATTTGAACAGTAAGTCGAAACATTTTCTCGACTGTTGCTTTTTTTGTTCCTCTACTGTCAATTAAAATGATCCAACTCATTTTTGATTCCAACCCTGCCCCCTCTTCTCGGTCTTTTCGATGCGTGGTGCGCTCACAAAGTGTTTAACATTTGCCATACTGATGATCAACTGCTTGACTAAGTCCCCCCTGGGTAGTGTTTACGGTATATTTTGCTCTTCAGTGACGTTTCATAGATTAGTCACTCGGTCCAATAGTGTTTTTCAACTCAGCTGACCGCGCCCTATCGTAGTGTCTTCGGTTTGCGGCGGAATTCGAAACACAGCTTGCAAATCCGTGCAACAAATATCTTTAGTGAAACCGGTAGAATTCGGAACAGTATCAAATTTGAGTGATAATGGTTGCCAATGATTGATTGATCCACTGAATGGGGTTCGGTCATTATTAGTTCACTTTTGGTGAACTGTTTGTTTAGTACTTTGGAGGATAAGACCAATCCGATCACCTCGTCTTCCCCGAAATTCTGTCGTCAACTATATCGGATGTGCAGTATTTAGCTATCTGCCGTTTTACTGGTACACGAACTTATTGTTTCCTCTGAACTACGGAGCATTCTGAGCAGTATTGGTTATGAGATCTACGGTTCACCGCGGCTTGTCTAACCAATGCTATGAAATACCGATCCTATTCACATATCGCAAGCCTCCTAAAAGCTACTTGAAATTCCTCAAGGTTGGGCGTTGGTTCTTTGTTTGTCTCTCAGTTTGATCTCTG